CCATTGGGGTGACAAGGGATGTGAGTCCCATTGATGGCACAAATGGTGTCAGTGAAGTAGGGATAGTATTTGGAGTTTTGGAGTATCTTGAGAGGGACTGGATCATTTGCATGAGGTAGCCAAACATATGATTGATAGATGGGGGGGGACATGAATGTATTGAGTATGCATTTGAAATACCTTGAAAAATTCAGCATTTCAAAGACTCAAGACTGGAATTAGCATACTTTGATATTGTTTCATTGGAGTGCTGAAACCATTTGCCAAGGTGATGAGTAGATAGCCCTGTTACAATAGCATACAGAAAAATAGCAAGCTGCTCCTCGAGTGTCACAAACTTTGAATCATAGCACCTGGAATCATGAAGTAGAGATAAAAGTACATAAAATATGTGATGACACACACCAAGTTCACAGTGTATACAATCCAGGTGTCCTGTAAGTAGCTCATTGACCCATCCTAAGCCTGTGAGAATAGATGTATGGTAAGGTTCCTTGTCATAGTATGACTGCATATGAAGTGAAATGGCCTTTGAGGCACCTGATGAAACTACTGTGGCTGCTTGAGAGGCGCTAAGTAATGCCTTGAAGATCCACTTCTCTATCTCATCTATACTGCTGCCAACTGTGGTACTTTCATCAAAATCTTTGATGGTAGTCATCTCTTCATTGGCTGGTTCACTGGCTGGGTGAGGTGGGTCGATGGTGTTGATTTCGTGGGCAGGGTTGTCAGTATTCATGTTGTTGACAGCTATGAGTATGATATCCTTATCAATGATAAGTGCAGTGCTGAGCATGACATCTACCCGTCCTTACAAATCATGACAAAGCAAATCTAGAAGCAAATTTCTCAAGTTAAGTTGGCCTAAATTTCATGGCTGAACAGACTCTTAGGAATAACCATGTTGCCAGGAAATTCAGCAAGGTCCTGCTGGAAATATTCCACCTGGATTCTTGGTAATAATGAGTAACTGTTTGCAAGGTATGATAATAAAACACCTACTGCTGAAATGCAGTTTCATATCCTGTATTTCCACTCTGATCAGCAGCAGCCTCCTCCTTGGCAATTTTGTGAATGTTTTTGAGTGAAATATTGACAAAGTCCCAAAATTTCCCCATGCTGAAAATAATAGGCCTGCCATTGTCCCCAAAGCCAGAGTTGTCTGGGTGAAGTGGCTGGCTGTTTAACATGGTGGCATCAATGCCTTTGTTATCTTCAAGCTCATAGTCCTGGTCTGCATCTCCATTCCCACCCAAGTGCTCATCCAAGTTGTCAGTCCCAGTGGAATCACCATTGTCACCTGTAGCACATGTACCTTGGGTTTCCCCATGTTCATTGGTCACTGATGTGCTATCCAGTGGTATACCATCATGATCCACCTCATCACCATACAACTTGTGCTCAATGCTGCAGCCAAGTGGAGAGATGGTATGAGTGAGTCTGAGTAGAGAGCCTTGAGCAAAAGAGCCCTGTGGTCACTGATACCAATCATGAAGACATGCAAGCAGTGCCACTAATGTTGAATGTGATCATCCTATAATATCTGATATAATGAAAACATACCAAAAAAGCGACCCTATTCCAATGAGCAGTGTCAACCTCTATACAGCCATGAGCAAGCGATTTTGATGTGTCCATTATGCTCAGGCATTTTTGGATAGATGAGAGCAACTGAGTGATAATTTGAGAATTTTCTAGCACAAAGTACTAAGGCACATACCTTGGACTTCATGCCACCTTGGATTGATGAAAGAAGATCACTAATGATTGTTGCGAATATTGCACTGAGCTCCACATCCTTGAATAGTGATGAAGGAACCTTGAAGATGCTGCTGTTGTCCTTAATAAAGGTCTGTCACAGTGTCAGTCTCATGAGATAGTTGATATCAAAGGAGGTTACTGAGATGTTTGGGAGCACATCCATCTTATATGCAGTCAGGTTGGGTGACAGGAGACATGCAGTCAGACAATTTTGGAGGCCAGACTGCATAACATTAAATTAGCCTGGCAACTTGTAGTGTAGAAATTTAAAATACCTTGAAGTCCTTTGAGTTTAACAACTCTTTGACATTAGCAAGCATAGCAGCCTTTTGAGTCAAGTCCATTTTCATCATGCATACTTTAAGATCAATAAGCATATAATATATTCCACTGGTCCAAAAAATTAAAATCAAAAAAGAGTATGCACATCAAGCAACTCACATCAATGAAGTCAAATAGACCCTGTTCTGGAACATCATTCTCCTCAGCCACTTTCTTCACATATGTTTTGAGTTGTTTTGCACGTGAGGGTGTCAGCACAGTTGGATCACCCAGGCCAGCATCAGAGTATGTCCTTTGGTGATGTACACCAGCACTAATAGGCTCCTTGAGTGAGTCATCAGACAATTCAGGAGAGCGTTGAATGCTGCCACCATGTCCAATGCCAGTCTGGCCTTGTGAAGCAGATGTTTTGAAGGTGCTGAGTGGCGATTGTGCTTGACCAATATCTCCCACTGCTGCAGAGCTGCATGCAGAAGAAGGTCTAGTTTGATCAACTCAAAGCCTGCCTGACATTGAGGCACTCCTTCCTCGAGACCTCAACAAATTAATGTCTGGTGTTAGCAGAGAACTACTACCACTCCCCAAACCTCTGTTCTGTGTACCAGCCAGAGGTTTGGAACTGCGAGGACACACAGGATAGCAAGAGATCATTGACAAGGAAAATGCAGTGGATTCTGCCTGGTGCTGCATAGGTGATGGTGAATGAACATCAAAGCACCCTGAAAATTTGGTTGAAGTTAATCATAATGTAACTTTGTAACTTTGAGGGCACACAAGGGAGGGTCAAAATCCAGGGAGCCAAGCACAACGAAAGCACAGAGCACTTGGAAACAAAGGAGAGCATGAATTGAGTATACAAGTAGTACTTTTCTCAACAGCACACTTTGCCCATGAGTTAGAATATGAGTATGGAAGATTGGTGTTTTGTGCAGTGAAGAGCATAAGCAATAAAATGGGGGAGCTTTGCTGCTAGAAAAGTGGTATAGATTATGGAAGAATGGAGTTTCATGTGGTGAAGTGCATAAGCAATAAGATGGGGGAGCTTGACTTTCAAGACAATAACTTATCCTTATTCTTTGGTCCTTGTCATCTCTAACCATAGCCAGGTAGCTGAAAGTAGGGGTTTGGGAGACTTTGGAACTGCAGTTCGTGAGGTGGCATCATATGAAAGTTCAAGCCTGAGGCTATGGGAACCAACCATGCATTGGCAGGGTGCATGTCTGTACTTTGGTGATAACTTGAGTGAATATATGGAGCTGGTGGTAGTAGATGAGGGTAGTGCATTTGAGGGTATGATTGAGGTGCAGAAAGGTATGGCTGCACCAGAGGAAAGTGCGATTGTAGTGGATGGTGCAAATGGGGTATAGAGGGGCAGAAGGATTGCAGTGGAGGGAATGCATTTGTTGGCAGCATAAATTGGCCCTGAGTGTGTTGGACCAAAGAAGTGGATTGTACCAGGGGATTTTGCTGAGCAGATGGTGCCTCAAGTCCAGAGGATCCAGCAACAGCTTGGCCAGCACAAGACAACACCACAGCCTTCCTTCCTTGTGTGCTGGAGCCAGTGCCTGCCTTTGCTTTTGACTTTGCAGCAGTCTTTGGTCTGGCAGGAGGTTTATCAAATGTGGGTGCTGGCATCAAGGGGCCCTGGATATCATTTTCTGTTCTTTCAGCTTCTTGCAATGTGTCACCAGCTTTCTTCGAAGCCTTCTTCTCCTTCATGTGCTATACAGCAGTTGCCCAAACTTCTGCAATGTTAGTAACTCTTAGCAGTGTTTCACAAAGTGTCTCCGGAATGATAAGACAGATATAACTGTAGTTATGAATGGAGTAGGCATTGAGAAAATAATTTGGAGTGGACTTATGGTGGATGGTAGGTATCATTCACAAAGTTTTGATCCATTCTTGATGCATGGCCATCTGGAGGGTGTCTGTGCACTGTGAATCAATACAATTGTGCTGGAGATTGATCACACATTTGATATCCTGTGTGACAGTAGTCAGTATAGCTTGTGTGTTTGTAGAATGACCCACTGCTGCTGTTATGACCACCTTGTCATCCAAAAGGTTGAGACATGGGAGATGAATGGAAGGATGTAGTGTATCAGCAAATGCAAAAAGCTGCAGCACAATGTGTGACACATTGTCATGATCATTGGATGACATCAGAATCTCCAGAATTCGTCCAATTGCCATTTAGTGATATCTTGTGAACTAACAGTTGTGAACATGATCAGAAATCATTCACCTGCCCATTTGTCGCTTGATGGAAGCCAACATGACTGTTTAAATGTGCAACATTGCCCTCGCTTGCTACAAGTGATTTTCCATGAAAATCACTAGTGCTAGGCTTTGCAGTCTTCAAGATCTTCACACAATGAGTGTTCTTTCAGGCCACTGCATCCTTTCTGGTTGTTTTTCCATTGGTGCCAATAGTAGATTCAGCCTTTCTGGAACCTATGTAAATCATTAGCAAAGATAAAGCAAGGTGTGATACACTTGATTTACCAGGTACAGGAGGACTACAAACAAGGTGCGACAATCCAAGCAATTGCACTTGTTCTGGGTGATTGTATATATATCCAAGAACCTCTTGACTTCCTTGAACTCATTTTGAGGTCTTGGAGTCATACCAAAATTCACCTGTAGTGATATGTTTGACAATATCATGATAAGTAAATATCCTGCAGCTGTCATGGCTCAGAGCTTGACAGTTGCTGTATATACATCTCAAATGGAAAATGTGATTGAATGATTCATAGCATTCGGTTGAAAATATAATCGCAGGTCCAAACTGATGGATGTATGCTGGGAGGTGGATCAAAAAGTGGAATTTTGGTTTGCTGATGATGATGCTGGGGGAACACTGTGCTGTGACATTAAGAAAGTCTTCAATTGTCTGAGATAGGTTTGCCTAGATGACACAGAGGATAAGAACTACAACTTCAAATACATGTGAATTAACCTACAAGATAGGCTTTGGTATTCAGAATCTTCATGTGCCAGATGAATACAATGAGTTCACCCATTATTGTCCAGGCATTGAGGACTGTTGAAGGGACAAGGTTGTAGATTATGAATGGCATCACCTGTGACAGGCTCTTGAAGTGCTTTCCAATCAGACTACCCTTGTAATGGCAGATGTATCCTGCATTCAAGTACGGAGCATTCAGTCTATCTGTGTCAATGGACTGGAGACAGGTTTGAAAAATGTCCATAAGCTTCGCTTTGTTGAGTAAAAATATGGTTTGTCCCCAAAAATACTTCACAATGCCAAGTAGCACAGTGTGCAGTATTTCCATTGGCATATCCATGTGCATGTTGAGCCCTAGCAAAAACATGAACAAGACACCAATGACTCAGAAAAAAACTGACTGTTCATTCCCAATAATGGGTTGAGGGTGTCTTCAAGCTTGTCACCTTGTAGAAGCTCTTCAAATTCTCTCTCCAGTGCAGCTGTGACTTCAGCTTTGGACTTTGCTTGAATGCTGACTGTACGTTTTCGAAGCTTCTTTCCAAGTTCTACAAGAGTGTTTGTGATGGAATTTGAGGCTGATCATGAATGCCTGTTGTCGATACCAAATTCTTGATTTTCTCAGTAGTGCCAGGCTTCAGCACCATCTCAAACTGTTCCCAGATGTTTGCAACAGTGCCTTCTGGTGTTTGAAGATTGCCTGACTGAATCACATCATCAGTAGTTGAAATACAATTAAACTATGTTCTTACTGCAAACAGGCTGCTATAGCCATCCTTAGAAGCTTTGTACTCCTTTGTTCCACTGATGTCACACATCTGGCAGAAGTAGTTGCAGTTCAATCCTGCATGACTACATTCTTCTGCTTGCATTGGGTTGTCACCAGCAGTGGAAAGCCCACATGGGATCAATAACACTTCTTCATTGTCTTTGCAATCCCATGCAGTGACCCCAGATGTAGCTGCATTACTGTAAATCTAGTTAGAGCTTCAATCTGAGCAAGTGAATAAAATAATGAACCAAATGGACTGTTTCATTGCCCACATAAGTTCCATGGGAGTGGCATGTGGTGAGGATATAATGAAGCGCACAAAGAACTCTTTCTCCAGCATTTCATGTAGGAGGTTCATGATTGACATGTAGATTGTGTGGTGTTTGTTCCATTGTTTTGATATGTTGCTGGAAATGTTGTCCATGAAGATGATGAGGGGGACTATATATACCATGCGACCATTTGCCTTTGCATGCAGTGGATTTGGTGAAAGTATTGCATATTTAGTTGATGAGGCTGTTTATCTCATGTTAATCTTGCAGTTACCGAGACAAGTAAATGTAAAACATACCAGTAAGGCCACAATCAAGTTCACCCTGAGTTGCAGCAATGTCTTCAAAGGACCACATGAAAGCAGATGTGGGTATGATCTCTTGTTCCTCATTAATGATAAATCCAGCCTAGTAGTGCAATTAGAACATATACATCATAGTAGGTGCACAATGATGATGTACCTCTGTTCATTTGACCACCTGACTGTCATATCTGCATATCCGGATCTCAGATCTGACCCTTATCTCATCTTAGATCCACATCTTATCTCCAATGCTATCCACATCTTATCCCCCTCCAACATCTTGTCATTCAATCTGTCCACTCATCCAGTCCGGTCCACAACTCATCCAAATCCACAACCAGCACTCATCTCTTTTCGGTAACCCCCTAACTCCAGTATTTCAGTTATCTGTATATCCATCCTGCTCCCTTATCTGCTACCTATGTTTCATTTCCATTTCATGATTTGTGATCCATTTCTACTTACCAATAGACTATCCACATGCTTCATACATAGCCTCAGACTCTGCTGATTGATCATTCTGTTAGATACCTATAGTATATAACCTCCTGTAACTTTCTGTAGTACCTCAGTTTGAATATCATCTTAGTTCTACTCATTCCTGTCCTCTGGACTTGAGTACCTCTACTCTTGTCACCCTCTGAGACTTAGGATTGATTCCTATAGTCTATCCATATCCACCTCTATCCCCAACAGTCCATTACTGTTAGTTTCTAGTCTGGACTCATCCAGATTAGCCTTACGATACTTATCCCTCATCTGGAAGTCATCCAGATCTGTTATGCTACTTGTCCGACCTTCCAGATGTGCTAGTCTTGCCTTCCTGAAATAAGGGGCAATACTTGGGTAAGGGGCACAGTGCACAAGCTGAGGCTGAAGCCCTTCAGATCCAGTTACCTTTTGAGTACGACCTTAACAGTATATTCGAACTCACACCTTACCAAGTATACTTACACTTCCTATGGCTCCAACCAAAACTGCAAACACTCTCTGAGCAGCCAGATTAGTATCCGCCCGCCATGATTCTACTCCTATCATCAACACCTTCAATAGTTTCTCACAGCATCGTGTTAGTCAGCATGCTACTGCTGGAAGCATCTTGGAGCTTCTGAGTTGTCAACATCTGGAGACCCCTACATGGACTCCAGCCCTAGCCCCTCTGGGCCAAAGAGATCTGGATGACGATGACATTGATCACAATACCCCTGGCAGAAATCCACTGGATGGTAATGGTGGAAATCCGGACGATGATCCAGATGATGAAGATGATGATGATAGAGACGATGGCCTGGGTTCACAGGATTGCATTATGGTACTCCTATCCAGAGCTATCAACAATCTTGCCCGAAACAATTGTCGCACCACTCTTCCCAAAGATCCTAAAGTCAAGGTCCAGGAGCCGGATGTCTTTGATGGCACTGAGCCCTGGAAACTTCATGCATTCTTTGTCCAGTGCAAGCTCAACTTCCAGAGCAAACCCAATGCTTTCCATACCGGAAGGTCTAAAGTCAATTTCACCCAATCCTACCTCAAAGGAATGGCCCTTGAGTGGTTCGAACCTGACCTCCTTTCTGACGAACATACCAATTGTCCAGACTGGATGGATGACTATTCTGAGTTCATGCTTGAACTCCAGACCAATTTCGGACCTCATGACCCTTCTGGAGATGCGGAAATGCAGCTCAAACAACTCAACATGCACGACAGACAGCGCATCAACAAGTACATTGTAGAATTCCAACGACTTGCCTCTCAGGTCCACGGATGGGGTGATGGAGCCCTACACCGACAATTCTATAATGGACTTCCTGCTCGTATCAAGGATGAAATCAGTCGCATGGGAAAACCTGGCACACTCTCAGAATACAAAACCCTTGCACAGACCATTGATGCCCACTATTGGGAATGCAAGGGAGAGATCTCCTGCAAAACCAAATCCTCTGCACCAAATCCCCCTGCCAAGTCTTCCGAATGGACCAATGCCAATGCGTCCAGATCTGGAAGCACTTCCTCTGGAAACAACAAATCTGGAAAGACAACTTCATCCACTACCTCTGCTTCTAAAGCTCCGGACCTTAACAACAAGTTGGGTAAGGATGGAAAGCTTACATCCAAAGAACGTCAGAGAAGGCTGGACAGGAAGCTCTGTCTGTTCTGTGGTGGACCTGGGCATACTGCTCAGGACTGCACAAAGTTGACTTCGCACGCTACCAAAGGTTGCGCAGCTACAGTCAATCCAGAAACCAAACTGGATGCCATGGACGAGGCAAAAAAATAGTCCACAACCCTCCTGACTCCGCACAGGATGAGGGTCATGTTGACTCAACCTGTGCAGCAGAGCTACGACTCAACACTGTTTCCTTGTCCAATCCGAACTCTCTCTGTCCATATGTTTCCATCCCTATGTATTCCGATATTTCTGACTTTCCAGCTCTTGTAGATTGTGGTTCCTCCCATTGCTTCATAGAATCCGACTTTTGTCCATAAATATAATCTACCTACCTATGCAATTCCTCCAATTCTGCTCCATTTGTTTGATGGTACTTGTAATGCAACCATTTCCAAAGCTATAGATCTGCCCATCCGTTTCTCGTCCAGTGTAGTCACCTCTGATATATTCTACGTAACTCCTTTGGATTCATCCTGTCTTATCGTCCTTGGATATAGCTGGCTTAACCGACACAATCCATTGATTGACTGGGTTTCACACAGCATTGAGTTCCAGACTTCATCTCATGGAATGCCATTGACCCCTCTGATATCGCCTCCACCACCTCCAGTGGAAACTACCCCTCCAACTACTCCAGATACCTCCACTGATACCTCCAAGCCTAACATTTCTCTAATCAACACAGTTGCCTTTTGCTGGGCCTGCAAGTTAGAAGGCTCCAAGCAGTTCAGCATCTTCCTATGTCCTTCCAGTGCCAAGATCTGCTCTGTATCCACTTCATCTGATGCTCCAGATCTATCTGCGATCCCTCCGGAGTATCATGAATATGCGGATGTCTTTGACAAGGGAAAAGCTGGCCAACTTCCTCCTCATAGGCCTTATGACCTAAAGATCGACTTAGAGGAAGGTACTGCTCCACCCCTAGGCACCATATATTCCCTTTCTCCGGTTGAGCTTGAAGCTCTCCAGAAGTTCCTGGATGAAAATATCTCATCCGGACTCCTCCGTTCCTCCTCCTCTCTGCACGGAGCTCCTGTCCTGTTTGTCAAGAAGAAGGATGGCTCCCTGCGTCTTTGTGTGGATTTCTGTGGCCTGAACAAGATCACCAAAAAAGACTGCTATCTGTTGCCCCTCATTGCCGACCTCTTAGACTCTCCAAGCTGCGCCAAAGTTTACACTAAGATCGACCTCTGGTCCGCTTACCATCTCATCCAGATATCTTCTGGAGATGAGTGGAAGACAGCTTTCCAGACATGCTATGGCTCCTATGAATGGTTAGTTATGCCCGAGGGTCTCACCAATGCTCCAGCAGCTTTCCAGCATTTTGTCAATAGCATCTTCGCCGATATGCTTGACATATGCATTGTGGTGTATCTGGACAACATCCTCATCTATTCCCATGACCTTGCATCCCATAAGCAACACATCCGAGAAGTACTTCAATGACTCTGAAAGCATTGACTCTATGCCAAACCAGAGAAATGCAAGTTCCACTCCGATTCCGTAGAATACCTTGGTTACCTCCTGTCTCCAAAAGGCCTTACTATGTCATCCAATAAAGTCAAAGCTATCATTGACTGGCCGGAGCCATGGAAGGTCAAGGATGTTCAATCCTTCCTCAGATTCACAAATTTCTATCATCATTTCATCTTCAACTACTCAGACATCATCACTCCACTCACCCGGCTTACACACAAGAATGTTAACTGGGATTTTTCGGAGGATTGCCAGAAATCATTTGCTGCACTCAAGAAAGCCTTCACTTCTGCTCTGGTGCTTACACACTGGATTCTGAATGTTCCTATTGTCGTTGAAACCGATGCTTCTGACTATGCTATCGCTGGAATACTGTCAATTGTATGTCTGGACTCAGAGCTTCGTCTGGTAGCATTCTATTCTAGAACCCTGTCTGCTCTGGAACTCAACTATGATACCCATGACAAGGAACTCCTAGCCATATATAAAGCTTTCTGGACCTGGCAACACTACCTAGAAGGCTCATCCGAGCCTATTGATGTTGTCACGGACCACAAGAACCTTGAGTACTTCGCAACCACCAAACTCCTCTCTTGCTGTCAGGCACATTGGTTGGAGTTCCTCCACCAATTCAATCTCATCATCTGTTTCTGTCCCAGAAAACTTGGAGCAAAACCGGATTCCCTCACTAGTGTTAAGAACCATGCTCAAAGGAGAGAGAGACTGACTCAGAGGGCTTGGCCTCAGCTCATACGCTGTGCCCCTTACCTGAGTATGTGCCCTTCATTTCAGAGGAAGTCTGATGATGGTCCGATGAAGTCCGGAGGACTTCCGGAGGCTGGCTACTCTGGTGGAGAGTGCAGGAGGACTTCCGGAGGAGCGCGGGAAACGTCCGGAGGAGCGTGGGAGAGTTCCGGAGGGATGCAGGAAATGCTCAGGAGAGTTCCCACTGCAAGGTAATACTTCTACAGGAAAACAGGATGGATGGATAGGAGGTCCGGAGGTCTGGAGTATGGAGTACAGGAGGTGCGGAGGTCCGGAAGGAATAGGGGCTACATTGGACAAAGTCTGATGCAGAAGCAAACAGAGGTAGACTACCCTAAGGTAGAGTTGGAGGGACAGGAAGTGGACCTAAGTCTGGAAAGAGGGTAAGTGCCGGAAAGGCAAGACTCCAGCCTAGGGAAGCAATCCCTAGACTTGGGACAGAGACATAGGGGACAAATCCAAAGGT